CAACATTCCTGTAGGACTGGAGAACATTCCCCTAACATTGTCAGTACGTTCCCAGTCACTATGTTCTCAAAACGTTCTCAGTTCTTTTTTGTAACCAACCTAGAACGTTCCCAGAAAGTTCTTATTCGATTCCCCCAAAACAACCAAATGGGAACATTACGGGAACATTCTGTTTTGCTTGATTTTTCACGTGTATTTTGATATTTCATATTAAAGGGGTCATATGATGCGATTTCATTTTTTCCTTTCTCTTTGGAGTGTTACAAGCTCTTGGTGCATAAAGAAGATCTGTAAAGTTGCAAAGACTAAAGTCTCAAATCCAAAGAGATATTCTTTATAACTTTTCAGACCGATTAGTTTTGTAAAAATCGACGCGTTTCAAAAAGGCGGGGCATAGAGGAGAAACAATAATGTACAGTATGTGGAAAATAATGTGTTTTTTTTACTTTAAACCGCATAAACACATTTCATTACACCAAATACACAAAATAATGTTCTTTTTAGCAGCATCATATGACCCCTTTAAAAGGGGGTTTACACGCATGTGTCAGTCATTTTACTTTTATGTATAGAAATGTACTCTCCATGCACACACTCACAAAATATCCACATTTGATTTCATTGACAAAACAATAACTTTTATCAAAAATTATCATTAATTTTTTTCAAGTTCAGCACCTTGCACTACCAGAAAAAAGTCTAACAAATACAAACAAACACGCCTGACAGTTGCAATGTATTGCTATTTGCTGAATCAGTGTGAACTGGCCTTTATATTTAGCATGACATATTAAATGTACTGTATGTAACCGTTTATCTTAAGCAGTTTGTACCAAAATCTGCAAAGACTCGAATAATTGAGTAAAAATTATCCATTTACTCACCCTCATGTCAGTCCAAGTAAATTTTATAATGTTCTTTCTTCTGTAGAACACAAAAGTAGAAATCAAACCTCATAAAGGAAAAAGAGCACCATAAAAACGTAAAACAGCATCGTGAAAAAAACCCATAAAAGTATGCTTACAGCAGTTCATGTGACTCGTACTACATAGAGTCTTTTTAATGCAATAATTCATCAAATAAACCATCTTTCAATCATTATTTACTCACCCTCACGTCCTTCAAACCTGTCCTTTGACTGCAAGGACAAATATCTTCTTTTGTGCTTCATAGAAGAACCTCATTCACGTGAGTGACGCACAGATCCGTTACTCACTCAAAATCTTCCCGCCGAAATTTTTCAAATGAGCGCGAAAGCAAAAAGAGCCAATCAAATTTGAGCCCAGTCTGCGTTTCCTCTACCTTCTCCTTATATGGTGTCTATGCGCGGCATTTTCCGGCTATATATGCAAATGAAGTGATTTAGGCGTTTATTATTATTTAAACGGATGGTTTTCGGTGAAGTGTACTATAATTATTTACATAAATCCTTTAATAAAGTTGTTACTGTATGATTCGCGCAAATGGTCAAATGACCCAAAAGAACAAAAACAAAAATAAAAGTTACTCCTTAGCCAAAAAAAAATTATAATTGCACACAATGCGTAAATTACCAAGTGCATGAATCTTTCTTTGTGTGAGTTTTACATAATTTCGTGGCCTACAGAATCACAAAAACAGAACATAGATTATACACAAATTATGCAGAAATAAAATTGTTTGGCACACCACACTCCAAAAAAAAAAAAAAA